GGCTCCACCCCTCTTGCTCTGATAACTAGACACAAGATAACAGCAAGCAAAAAACACAAACTCCAGGCAAGAAAACAGGTGATATGATGGATCCGTCTTTCGTAACAATCAAGTCTTTGCAGCTGAAACTGGTATTTAAATGGGTCATAATAACTAAAGTCATTTTTAAAGCATCATTTTGTTTTCACAAGCATGTCAGCTTTTTTAAACTGCGTTATACATTTGGAAATATTCCATCTTTCTCTTTGTGTCAACAACCCCACGAATAGACGAGGCCATGTTTCTTCATTGTAGTTTATTTTGAGTCAGTCCCACATACACAGGCATTCTGCTACACTACACCAACAAATGTGTATTAATCCATGAATAAAAATAGTCCCCAACAAATGTTATATATGTCTAAAGAAGCTTTCGCTTAAAACTAGTGTCCAGCTGTTTTAGGAAATTACTTTAGTCTTTAAGGAAAATCTTACTATATGTTTGTTATAAATTTTAAAAGATGTACCATACAACCTCAGTAGGAACCAAGAGACACACAGGGTAGATAAGTATTGTCCGATGCACTAATACACTGGTTAACAAACTATGGTAGGTGTACCACTGGTAGTAAGAGAGCTGCCTCTAGAGGTATGTGGAGTAATCTCTTAATTTTTAATGAAATAAATTAACTTAACTAAAAAAAACTGAGATTGCTAAAATGTAACATAGAAAAAAGTTTTGCGTTTCCTGTAATATTTTGCTTCAATATCAACCATGTATAGTCATGAGCTATGCAATGGCGAGATAGTAAGCGGAGGTAAAATGAATGGTTGAAAAACAGTGCCATTGTGATTCCAAACAGGAACTATTAGGAAGAGAAATGTGGACTAGGAGTACCTCTTTTCCACCAAATGAACCTGCTCCATTCAGGATACAATAAAATAAAAAAAAAGGTTGAAATGTAAACTTGTGAATAAGCCTGTCCGCACTGTGGATGCTTGAAGTCGACAGACTATTTTGCACATTGCATGTATCTCCATGTATATCTGTCTCTCCATACCTCCCCGTCTCTCGCTTTATTCGCAGTTTCCTCGTCGTTTTCCTCTCAGTCACTTCAGATAAGAAGGAGGGAGTTTGTTTCTCTCTCGCTCTCCATCTCTCTGCTTTCTGCATCTCAATCACTGCTCTGCATCCTCCTTGTGTGATGTGTGTGTGTGCTTGACTGTGTCTGACTCATTCTAAATCTGGATGTGTGACCCAGAAAACTATTCACAAAGCATATTTCATCTCATTTCTATATGAATTTTGTTTTGTTCCACTATTTGTCACTATATAATGTCTAATGTGTAATGTCTTAGGAGCTAGACAACTATATATACAAATAAACATATTAATTTTCTTACCAAGAGTTACCGGAGAAGATTGATACCACTCTCATGTCTGTATGACAAATATGAAGTGATAACAGACAGTTAGCTTAGCTTAGCACAAAGACTGGAAGCAGGGGGAAACAGCTAGCCTGGGTCTGTCTAAAGGTAGATTTTTTTTTTTTTATCTATACAAAAACCTAAAAAAAAGGACAATTTGTTCATTTGTCTGGGGTTATTATGTGCTGGCGTATTTCTTGGCTCTGAGCTATTGCCTGGCAACATGCAGTAATTCCACGAAGTTTCCAGCCAAGAAATAGCCCAGCATGAAGCCATCCCATAAAACGGCAACTTGTCATTTAACACAAAAACAGGTTTTGGTTTTGTCAGAACAAATGAGATGTAACATGTACCATATTCTCAACAACTTCCTTACCTATTTCACTCAGAGAGGTTCTCATTCCCAGGGCGTCAAATACTGACGTTTTGTCACGCCCCTCGACATCTCTGTACGGGTGCACAAGATACCCTTTAAGTGTGAGACACAGTGGGCTGTCATGTAACGCCAATGTAACACATCCGTGTCAGCTGACAGTGTAAAAGAGCAAGAAAGTCCATTTAAGGAGGTGGCTGGGTTGGATAAGGCAGGACCTTCACCCTGGACACTGACATCAGCATTAATTAGTAGCGTGTGAAGTTTAGTGTGTGTGTGTGTGCATGTACAGCATGTGTGTTTGCATGCCATCCTACCCTGCAATAAAGAGATATCTCTTTCCATTTCTCTTCCTCTCCTTACCTAAACATGCAAATTCAGGTGAGTCAGTCAGGCGTTGGATGTAACACTTGTCTCTGCTGGCATGCGATCAGTTTTTACAACACAGAAACAAACTTTCAACAGGCCAAGACCGTTAATTCACACATCAAAGCTACAAGTTCTTTTAATGTGCGAATAAACTATAAATCCTCACACCTCAGCTGGAGATTTTCATGCAACTCGCACAACTCGGAGCTTCTGTGCTTCGTGCTGAATATCGGATAACATCTGATAAAATCTCCTTTGGGCTCATCTTGATTGTATTGTCTGACATGCATTATAGGTACTAACTACCTAACTGCAGAGCTGCAATATGCTGTAAAAGACGACTGAAGCTTCCCCAGAGGCAGCATGGGACTGTGCCTCACCTCCCTTTTTTGACGGAACTGAAGCGAGAAGAAACGGTTAGATACATCCGATGTTTACATTTTCTTTTTTACTTGACAATGTCAAGTTGTAAGTATCTCCGCTGGCATGCGGAGCGACCTTTCACAGCTCCAAAGGGTAGCCATCCATGATTCATAATCTATATTTTGTTTTAAAACATTTATTAATCCTAGTTTTCTCTGGGTGAAAATGTGAATACCTGCCTTCCAACCCCAAAACAAACAAAACGCAAGAACTCACAGAGCCAAACAGTGATATGGGGAATCGCTGCAGTCAAATAAAGCTGGTTTAGTAGTTAAAACACAGGCAAACATTTAGCAAGTGTACAAATTCCACGTCTGTCTCCATAACAAGATTACAGCTTTTCTCATTTGTAGCTTTGCGAAACAGTTGTTTTTTCTGTTTTTTCCATCAGCCATGTCACTGATGTCACTGATACGTTTATTTGTCCTCCACATTACCATTTTACACATCTTGTACACTGCTGTTATAATCCCCAGGACATCTGTATTTATCTTCAGAGTAACAAGCCTGTCCTGTGCGGTGTTTGTGCTCGTCTCTGCAGATAACGTATGCTTTGTTCGGGCACAGTCGGTGTGACTTTGTCTTCCAGGCAAAAAAGCATTTTGGATGTAAATGGGATTTAGTGTAAACAAAGGATAAATCAATAACCTTGTGTACAGCACACAGCGGAAGAATGCAAAATAACCAAAATGAAGGTCTGAGACATCAACAAACAATAATATAACATTCCGCATCAACAGTTTCAGCATTCAGGCTCGTATCGTAAGCACTTTTTGAACGCACAGAAGAGGAAAAACCTGTCCTATTATAATACAAACGTGTGACAAATGCTCCCACGCAACTCATATAAACACAATATAAACTATTTAATTTATGTTCACCTGTCACGAGGTCAGCCGTTTGAACATTTACTCATTTGTCCGCTCACAGAATTTAAAGTGGTGACAGAGAATAGTAAATCTCTGTGACACCATGTTGGTAGAGCCATCTGTGATCACACAAAACACAGTACAGTACAGACTGACACAAACATGTAGTGATAGTACCTATTTTAAACTATTTAACTCTACTAATGTGCGTTTTGATGAATGAATCCCACTCATACAGCATATTGGAAGCACAGATACCATATTACTGCAAGTCCCACATTTTAAATCTTTCTGAAATCAAAGTAATAACTGAGGTAATTCCCAGTGCTACTAAAAAAAATGTAAATAGGAAGTAGTTGAGAAGAAGAACGGTGTCTAGAAATGAGAAGCCAGAAGAAAAAGAAAAAAACACTTCACTCCTATCACACTTTGTTTGGTCAGTAATGAGCAACATGACGCACAGAAGTGGTTTCATATTGAAACTGCCATGTGGAAAACAACTGCGGGCGCTTCCTCCATCAGACGAATCAGGAGCAGGTCAACGCCACAAGTCATGGGTCAAAGTTCAGACATTCACTAAAACTGTCAGCAAGAAGTAACCCTAGGAGGAAATGGTAGCGCAGAGCCAAATATTTGCCTTGTTAGCAGGACATGTGAAATGTGGCGTTCCTTTCACAGCACAAACACTGGGTCACGATTTTATAAAGCTGTTTTCTTGGACTTTCAACCTCTTCTTCGGCTTGATGTGCTACAGTAACGGTACCAGACTAGCCTGTGCTCTTACGTCCGTGTACCGGAGAGCTGGTGCTGGCTCTCCTGCTCTGTACTGGCAGCTTACTCATCTTGTCCTTCAGGCCCTTAAGGCTGTATAGCCTGCTAAAAGTGAAGCTAAAAGGAGCCCTTCCTTCTTCCTGGCAGCACGCCTCCTGTGCTGATACCGTCTGGTTGTGGGAGTCAGGATGGAGCTGTGACTGTATGTTCGGGTGTGTGTGGAGAAATGAGGCCTGGGGTTTTGGGTAAGAATGTTGATTCGGTGACTGCCCGGCTCTGCCCTGCACTGCAAGAGACTGTCGAGAGAGGAGGCTCCGCTGACTGTGCAAGACTTCGGCCTGCTTCTGCCCAGCTGCGGACCCAACAGCACCTGCTCCCGCTGGAGGAGGGGGTCTAGCCGGTGGTCTGCGAGGAGACGAGCCGTTGTCCAACACCTGGAAACTACTGTTGAGTGCCTTGTTTTCTGCCTGCTTCAGCTGATGGCTTACCCAGGGACGAGGCCCAAAATGCTGGCTGGCTGAGGGAGAACGAAGGGGTCTGGATGGTTGGTCTCGTGGAGGTCTGGGAGGAGTCTGCAAAAGCTAGGGAGAAGAGAATGGAGAATATGTATAATGTATGTATAGTGAGGTGTTAATACATTTAACGACACATTACTGATAGCAGATACCCACTTCTCATATCGTATTCTGTTAGTGTGCTGGAAACTTTCATGCAATGCAGTGTAACATGTTACAAAGTGACGCCCAGTGACATAAAAGCTGTTGCAAATGGAAAAGAAATGTACTTCGGAGCAAACCTGTGAAATCTGCTGTATTGTCCCTCTTGTTAATATTACATGACAGAACTGAGTTAAAACATGCCAACAACACCTCCTCGGCTGGAATAGATGTGTTAGATGAAAAGCATAGACTCGGGTCAACGGTGAGTGAGTTAAACCACGGCAATAAATGTGAAACTATCATTAATTTATCGATTCATTAATATTGCAGCCGGGGTGAGCGCACACGGCGCTTCATTAAGAGCGTGTCACTTTAATTCACACGCAGTCTCCTTGTTCAATAATGAACAAGTGTCGTGTGTTTAAAACTTACAGACGCTCTGCTGGTGCGTACTCAACAGTCCTAGACACACACAAGACATGGTAAGGGTAGATATAGATAGATAGACAACATGCCGTGTAAAACAGCCGAGCTGACTAAGCACCGACGGAGCTGTGATAATGACTCACACCTCAACACCTAAGTGATACTTCATGACTTCAGCAGCTACATTTTTGCACAAGCTCCTTTCATTACGTTCCAACCTACTGCCTACTAGGAACTTGATGGACATGATGAAACACCAACAATAAAATAAAACATGAGTAAAACGTGTCATTTATTTCATGTGAACTGGACTTAGTTCATTTTATCAAACAACAGCTAATTAGAAAAAATGTCCATTAAAGGACACGTATGATAATTTGAGAAATGCGCTTCTTCAGAGTCAGATGAGACGATTGATAGCACTCATGTCTGTATTCTAAATATGACGCTAACACAGTCTCTAATTAGCTTAGCAGAAAGACTGGAAAGATGGGAAAAAAGCTTGATTGGCTCTGTCCAAAGGTAATAAATCCACCTTTATTTAATATGTTTGTTTAATCTGTGCTAACACCAAAGCCTATGTCCCAGACTATTTCTTGGTAAGAGCAATAACCTAAATAGCATTACTTAAATAGTATTAAGTAGTAAATGTAGCAAACATGTATGGGTGGAATCAATCTTGCAATTGATTGATATTTAATTTAAAAACTAATATGTCATTATTTTACCCTTTGGTATGGTGGAGTTTGTTTGTGATCGGAGCTGCATTTTCTGCTATTCAGACATTTTAAAATAAGAAACAACTGACAAAAAGCTTGTCAGAACTCATTTAATTAAATAATACATGGATCTTAATTTTTGCTGCCAACAAGATAAAAATATCTTGGCAAATGTTATACTTGATGCTCTGTTATTTGCTTTGCAAAATGTCATGGGTGGCAGTTTTTAAAATGCTGAATGATGGAACTCACTAACTACAAGGAAACACCTATAGGAGGGATAAAATACTCATTGACTTCAGGTAAACTACTTTCACTACTACTGTTTTACAGCAGGTGCCCTCAAAAGGTGGTTAGATTAAATTAAAAAGTACAAATGTATGGCGGCTTTAAAAGTTATTTTTGTCTGATGGAATGATTTTGAATTTAAATCTGCTGTCTTACTGTTCATACCTTCTGCCCCTCAGTGTCTTTGGTTAACTGGGGCCTATCACTCCTCTCCACACTGCTGGGTCCTAATGCTGGTCTCTCTCCCTCAGAAGAAACCGTCTTTGGTTTAAGGTCCCCTGTGGACAACCGCTTTGGCTCTGCTCCCTCACTGGTTAGCTCTCCTGGAGTCACTCCTCCGTCGACCAGTCTCTCTGCTGCTGATTGGTTAAGCACCCTCTTCCTCTTGGGGGCTTGTGGTTGGGCCTCCTTGCTCGTTTCTACTGTCTCTGTTGAATCTTTACTTTGGTTAAAATGGTCTGCTGTTCTTTTTGCTTCCTCGCTGGCTCTCCTTTGTGTCCCCCGCAAATCTCCCTCTGTCCTCCTCTCTCCCACACTCACTTTCCTCCCTTTTTCATCCGCTTCTCTCCCATTTTCTTCATTTACGGTTTCTTCCTCCCCCCTTTTCAGCTTCTTTTCAAGTGAAGAAGATGAAGAAGAGTCGCTAGCAGGCCCAGACAAACTCTGTGTTTCACTGCTAGAGGTATTCTGGTCTGTAGTGCCTAATGTAGCAGCAGTGTTATAATTTATGTATGCAGGACTAGTGGCCACGCTTGTCGCATTAGGAGTATTTGTATGTGTGAAGCTACCATGATCCTCTGTCGTCCCATGGTTGCGGTAGGCTGCTCGGTCAAACACGGGCTCGTGGAGAGGAGAGTCGCTGCATTCGTAATACTCCTCTGAGGTTGTGGAGAGAGCGGAGTCCGTTCTTGGTGAGACATACCCGTCGCTAACGTCGGGCGTGGGTGTCCGGAAGTCTGGAGTGTATGACCGTGGATCCGGTGTGTGCGTTTGTGAGTCTGGGGTGGGCATGCGTGGAATAAATCCGTCTGGAGTTGGTGTGCGTGCGAGAGCTGCGAGAAACCGCGATTCCCTCTCAGGCGTCGCCGAACGCAGGTCTAAATGCAGGGGTTTTTCAGGTGTGTGCGTGTTTCCCCGTGCTTTAGGGATTAGCTCCTGAAGGGTGCTGTGTGTGTTATGTTTTGTAGTATCTGGCATAGCGTCTGTGCAGTGTTCTGGTGTGAAACTCGGATTACCTTGCTGGCCAAGTGTGTCTACAACAGATGTGTGTGTGCTATCACCAGCACTGTCTTTGGACATGTGTGGGTTGTGTGTGGCAGAAACAGTGTGTGTTGGAGCTTTTAAAGACTCCACAGCGTCTACTGCACCTATATCATGTGGAGTGGATTCACAATATGATATTCTCTGGAGTTCATGTGGGGTTGCGCGGTACATTCTGCCTTGTGTGACATTCTTCCTGTTTTCATTTGGCACTTCGGGAAACTTGCAGCCTGTCGGGGCTCTTTCTGGGCCCTTGGTCCCTGCCTGTGCTGCGGCTACACAGTCTATCTGTGGGGTTAATTTGCAGTCTAACGATGTCAACGTCTTGGGCTCAACATCTTTCTGAATTATTTCTTGAATATTCACACTCTCTGCCTTTGATGCATCGGTAATCAAAACATCCGACTGGGCTTCTAGGTTGGTTCCAGTGACCAGCTGCATTCCTGCCTTGTCATCATGTAGTCCGACTGCTTCCTCATTCTTCGTCTCTTGGGAAGTCCCACTCTGTTTTTGCTGTGGAGCTTCTCCAATATTCCCTGTGTTCTCTGCATCTTTTTGTGCTCCTGTTTTGCTCCCACTGTTGTTCTGCAGTTCTGGCTCTTTTTCCGGCGATGTCTGGGCCACGGTTGCTACAGCGGGCTCGCTAGGGACCACCAGCGCGTCTGTGCTGGTCTCAGGCCTCCTGGCGACACTGAACTCAGGCAGCTTCTGGCCATCGCTGGTGACGCCGTCTTTGATAACCAGCTGGATAGTACGAGGTTTTGGGACGGGAGGAGCTGAGGTCAAGGATGAGGATTTGGAGGAAGAAGGGAGGGCAGGATTGGGAGTTGTAGAAGAAGAGGTAACAGGAGGAAGGGAAGAAGAAGGGCTGATGGAGGACAAAGGAGCACTGGCACTGGTAGGTGTGCTTGTAGTAATGGAGACGTGGTGATTTTCAGAAAGGGAGGTGGAACTGGCGGGCTGAGAGCTCATGGCGGAGGTAGAGGAGGGTGACCCATGTCTATTGGCGGTGGGAGTCTGGACGTTAGGGGTCATTTCCGAAGAGTTTTGTGGCTGTGTGTGAACAGCCTGTGTGTGTGAATCCGTATGTGGCAGCACTGTCTTTGTTTGCGTGTGTCCTCCTGTGTTTGAGTCAGTGGGACCACGCGGGTCCAAGGTTTGTGCACTCAAACTAGTTTCTGCTTCTTTAGCTTTTGATCCAGGGAGGGAGTCGGGCTTCGGATTGTTTGCGGTGACACCTTGGGTGCTGTGTGAAGGGGTGCTTGTGTTAGGAGTTTGGACTTTGCTACTGGATCTGGGAGGTGCGTGCGCATTGAGGTGAGGTGTGGTGTTGTGGCTTGTCTCTTGGTTGGAGGGTGTATTTGATTGTAATTTATCCTCGGTGTTAAGAGTCTTCGTAATGTCTTTTTCAGATTCACACTCTGGTGCAGGTGAATTCTGCTCAGGTGCCTCTGCGTTACTTTTGCTCTCACCAGGCTGTGCATTGAGTTGTGTCGACTGAGCTCTGTCTACCACCGACTCTTCAGCCTTGGTTTTATCTTGTGCTGGTTTGAGTTTACTCATCTGCATCAGCTGTCTGGGCTTGGCCACCTCTGGCAGGGTTTCCTTAGGCCTATTGAATGGACTGCTAAACTTGATCGCTTGGCTGGTTCCAAACATCTCAGATCTCTGTAGATGGACCTGATTTGGTTTGTTGGAATCCCGAATGTTAATGAACCCAATAACATCACTGGAGGGGTCCGGCTCGGGCCAGGTGGGCAGGTATGACATCAAGCATGCTTTCTCTAGATCGACGAGTCCGGGGTGGATGGGAGGAGCCTCCTGTATGGCTTCTTTACTAGCCCTCCTCCGCCTCCCCTTCTTGGTATCTGGGCCCTCTGGAGTCTTGCAGTTCTCTTGACTTTTGGTCTTGTTGGAATTGCTGTTTTCAGCAGAAGGGGCGGGGCTGGGGCTGGGGTTGCCTAAAGCCAGGGCGTATTTGGGACTGTACAGTTTCCTAGCAATAGCAGCAGAAGGAGGGGCCACTGCGGCAGCTTGTGGGAGGGGCTCCGGTTCAGGTTCAGGTTCCGTGGCGACCTGCCGGAGGTCAACCGAGCTGGAGGTCCCGTAGAGGATGCGAAACAGTCTGTCAAAGCCATCCACTGCTTGGCCTGTAACCACGGTGATGAGATTTCTCTCCAGCCGCGATGACGTCCAAGTGAAACTAAAGGAACCCACAGCAAACACAAAGGTAGACTACTTTAGAGTACACGAAGACATTACAAGACAAACAGCTCTTCACTGAAAATATGAGCAAAGTAAACAGCAATAAATGAACCAGGCAGACAACTGGGCAAACTATGTACAAAATGGCTCCACAGCTTATTTGAAGTACAAAGTCACAAGTAAATGTATCATTATGTGGTAGAAACTGCACTGTACATGTGTTTATTTCTCTTGTACATTGACACGTTTACAACCTGTTTGTCTAGAATGTAGAGAATGCTACTGAACATTAATAGACACAGTGCATTCTTTATTCATATCTCTCCATGCTACACAAACAAAAACAGGCGGAGCACACAGAGGTAATCTCTGTCTTTCAGTCTTTATCTCCTTCTCAAACTCGCTCAAACACTCACACGCACATATACAAAGTGCACTGACCTGTAAGACCCAGACACAGCTTTGTCTCCATCAATGAACATGAATCTGTGTCCCATTCGCCCTCTGACCTTGGTGGAGGAACGGGTGTGAAACTCTACTCCTTCTATGCAGCGTACACGAAGGTGCTGTAACACACAAAGAGTACACAGCATACGGTTACCATACCTTCTCCAGATTCAGAGCTCACTTTATTATTTATATACCTGAGCGATATGCAAAACAATAGCAGCAATTACTTCATCTTGTACTTTCATACTGCATTTTAAGTCAAGAAAAAAGAGAAAATGAACTGGAAAATATTGTGTCAATACAATACTAATGTCAAAAGAGATCAAAAGTTATTTTTTTATGATTTTCTGAGACGACCTTATCTTCCTTTTTGAATATTTATTGGCTGATTGGTGGTCAGGGTTTGCGTAAATAAAAAAGGCAGACCTGTGTACAGTCATACCAGCACCATCCTCTAACGCCTGTAATGTGATTCAGTTCTTAAAGCATTCATACGATAACATCTGTATAGTAAATGTTTAAAATGTTTAAAAATGTATTGAACTATGATGAAGTTTTCATGTGCACATCTAACAGCAAGTTTAAACCAACTGTAGTCTTTAAGTGACCCACAACTGCTTATTGGACCTATGAGTACTTTTGAATAGAACCCCTATAACCATACATAGACAGGAGCAGTAAAGTACCACTTGCCACCCTTAATCTAAGCAAATTGCTCCACTTTTTGAAAATGCTGGGCACTTACACATACTACATCCAGTTTAGGTACTTAAGCCTTGCACAACCAACACCATGTGAATTGCCATGGATTCTTATTTAATCTCTGTCTTGTCTTCACTTGATCCGTGAAGTGTTGCTGATGCCGTGGATCACAAATGATCTCGACCAGCTTTGTTAGTCTTTGTTGGAACTTGATTGTTTTGCTCATCTGTTTGCATGTATACTGTATAAATACTGCTGGATTAGAATTCCCTGAGATTAAAACCTGGTGTCCCGCAGCTGTCAGCGCTCTGTCCACTTAGGATGTTTGGAGTTTGGTCCAGCCAGAAAAGGTTGCTTTTTGAAAAATCTTTGATAAAAGATAAGTAAAAATAAGTAAAAATAAATAAAGTAAACTTTGATGGCAACACAATCTTTTTCACAGTTAAGAATTTAGTGTGTATGACTGTATGACAGCCACTTTGACAGGCCTATAGGCGTGACTGTGTAGTGTATTGTGTGCGGTAAAATATATTCAATGAGCGGCAGTGTTAAGATATAACTAACATTCATGATAAAACATGGGTGGTACACTATTATGGCACTGCAGTCATAAAAGACTGAAACGTTTCAGATAAGAGATTGCACATGAAAGGAACCTTGAGCTTAAGACTTCCTCTATGAAGTCTTTCTCTCTGTCTGACCTTTTCTTTAGGACGGACATGCATACTAATATCTGTACTTAATGAAGCTCAAAAATGCAAGGTGGTTTATGTAACTAATAAATCAGTGGTATATAGCAGCCCTGCCAGGTCTAAAAAAATCGGCCTTACATACGGGGTTACTTTTTCTGTTTGGTCGTAGTTATCCACTGCTATCAAAGCAGTTCGTGGTCCCGTTGGTGATAAACTGAAAAACTTTGACATACCACACCCTTATTTTTTATTGTCTTTAAGTTGATCTCATTTGAGGAGGGCTTTTAGGTCTTCTGAAAGATACAACTCTGCGAGACACATCTGTCAGAGGGGCAAGGTCCCGATTTGCGATATAGCCAAAAAATGATATAACCAGCTGTCCCGATGCAGCAGAGTATTCCTGACGAGGCTTGCTTCCCAGTAGGAACACCCTCCCTCCTGTGGTTCCACCCTCAACTTTCTCTGTTCCTCAGTACATTCCTTTGGTTAACTGATTAGATCAAAACAGCAAAATGCTTTTCTCTGTGTGCGTATTCAGCCCTGCACCATGGATGAATGCTTAAGCTGCCCTAGAAACAATATTACGAGAAAATGCCTCTGAACAGGTTTTAATTGCAAAGTGTACTGTAGCTTCCACAGAGAACAACATCCCATGAATCACTGAGATACTTTTTTTAGATAGATTTTTACTACTATTTGCTTTACAAAAATACTCCACATAGGACAGGGTGAAGGGTCACTGTTTACACAGTAACTATCCAAAAACCAACCCGGGCAACTCAAGAGTAAGAAGAATCTGGCACCTCTTTGCAAACATACTCATCTGCTCCTCCTCCCATCCTGTCTATCCACTCCTCCACCTACCTACTCCCTCTTGTCACTTACAGTTACAAGCTCAAGCTGTCATACCTGCTATCTGCTCTTCCTGCCTATCGTTCTCTCATTCAGCGGCCCTGGCTCGGCTTCCTGGCAGACTTTTGGAGACACTATTTCTGCTCACAACTGCAACTTTTACAGCTGTACCCAAATGTTCTGGCATGGCACACAGTAACCACGGCGATTGAAAGATACAGGACCATTAGAACATAAATGGCTGTATAGTTTTCTTTT